TACAATTTGACCACCTTCAAAAAGTTTTTTCCTTCAGCTATTTTCCAACACATTTCACGCAATAGATCATGAATCTTACAACTTTTGACTCGTCCATCAAATCTTCGTTTGGCAACAAGAACCAGACTCCTGTCAATTAATTCCATTAGATATTCTAGTGCCACATCATCTAAGCACTTGTGCTCTTCCTTCTTTATATACCCTTCAGCAACCCATAGCGACATCAACTTCCGTACTGGGATTTCCACGTCTTCCTCAAATGCCGCAAAATATTAAAAACATGGTTTCAAAGGCATTGGTAAATGCATGAAGCTGAGCTCCAATATCTGGATGCAGTTGTCACGGTTTTCGGATATATGTGAACTTAAATTTCTTGCAATGTTTTTCCACAAGTGTTTTTTCTTCTCCATATTTGCTAGAACACCAACTATCACAACGACTGCAAGTGGTAGGCCGTGACAATTTGTTGCAATTTGCTTCCCAATGTCTATCAATTCTTGAGGACAATTTTCATCTTGGAACACTTTTCGTTGTAATAATTCCCAACATTCAGTGTCCGACAGAAAAGGAAGTTCACGAATAACACTATGAGGCGAAGCTTCGAAACCAAGTTTTTTATTTCGAGTGGTGAATAAGATTCTGCTTCCATATTCGTCATCAGGAAAATATCTTTTCAAATCTTCCCATGGTTCCTTATCCCATATATCATCTATGACAATGAGGTATCGCATTCTTTTTAAACTTTTGTAAAGATCTTCCCCCAAACTTTCATCGTCCATATTCATAATAGTTTCTCTCTTCAGGTTTTTTAGTGAACTCAAAATGTCAAGCAAAACACTTTTCTTGTTATATGTTTGAGAAATAACACACCAGGCACGCTTGTCAAAATGATGGACAATGGAGGGATGATGATAGAGTTTATTTGCTAAGGTTGTCTTACCAAGACCAGGCATCCCAAAGATGGAAATGATCTGCAGCTGGTCTGTTCCCTTGACAAGTTTTTCGGCAATTTCGATCACCACATTGTCAAGCCCCACAACAATTTCTTCCAAATCGGAATGTAATTTAGATCGTGACGATACTTGTTCAACTGGATATTTTTCTACTTCTAGCCTTCCAGCTGCATCAATATTTTTCTTCATTTCTTTGATAGCCGTAGTAAGAACCTGAATTTTCTCAATGAGTTGAGGCAGCCTGAGGGTGAGATACCAATCAGGAGGAAACGAGTTGATTAAAAATTCAACTTCGTATGCTACATCTCTGGTTCGTGTTATGAGTTCTTCAACTTCTCCATCCTGCTGCATAGCAATCTCCGCGATGGAAGATCCCAATAACATTAGCTCCTCATGGAGCTTTACAATTTGATCGTCCGCACCAGCAATCTTCTCAGGCTTGTCATTTATTAGGTACATGAGATCATCAAGAACGGAATCAACAATGAAGGGCGAACCCATATAAGCCTTTTGAGCCATATTACTTGGCATCTCTGAGACTGCAACGCAGTGCTTCTTGATCTTTTTATTTAAGGGCTGAAACGTTCGTAACAAATTGGAAAGAGCTAGATCCAACATTCCATTCTTGGTGAAAGTGAAGAAATCTATGAAACTTCTTACTTTTTGGACCAGAGGTTTGATGTCACTCATTATTTTTAAGGTTTCTTCAAACTCAGAGTTATGACCAAATTGCTCTTCCAGTCTAATAGCCTCATCATGATAAGTACCCTCCAAGTAAGACTCAAAAAGGTCGGAATGCAGGGAACTTCTTACCTCACTGACCATTGTTTCAATATCCACTGGTTCATCATTGGTTACCCCAATCATTAACCACAGCATCGATACAACCATGGTGAAAAAGAAGGAATAGAAGAAACTTCCGACCTCATTAACCACAGCTTCGATATCTGTCAATATATCCTTAGTGGGCTGCAAATGCATCGATGTATCACCAAGAAAAGTAGTAAGAAATCCAAGCTCTGTCTGGAGATTTTGGAATGGACCCTTTACACAAGCAATGGAATCTTCCTCAAAACATAGGATGGCTTCTACCATTAGGAGGTATAAGTTGATTAAGGCCGCAACGACTTCATTACGATTGAGAGTAGAAGTTGTAATTTTTGAAATTATTTGCTGGTTTGGGACTCTGAAGAATTCCTTAAGCTCTTGCCCATGTGACACTAATTTTCGAAAAAAGAATCTGAGTTCTGGTATATTGCCGTAATTTAGTGCTCCTAAAATTTCATTTGGGATTTGATGGAAGGGCAGTTTTGATATATGCTCGGCTACAAGCCCGGCGAGAATCTTAAGTACATATTGTAGCTCTGAAAAACAGACCATGTTGGGAAGACGAGTAGCTGAAAATCAAATCGAAAACAGAAGAAGGAAGAAGGAAGAAGAGAGGAATTTGATTAATTGAATGGTTACAAAGTCTTCACTGCTTGTTCATTTCTTAAATATTTTAAATGGTAGGTAAGGCAAAGAGCATTTTCCCCATCCAACGTCTGAATACATTAAATATATTCTAATGTTACAAGGACGTGTCCGGCTTCCGAGTAATATTTTAAAGGGAAATTTGCCGTGGAGCCTAGGACTGTAAGTAAAAATCATCAAATCAAAAAATCGAATCGAAATCGCATTTTAGAAATCATCAGTTTGGTGCCACGTGTGCCCGTCAGCGAAATGGTTTTGAACCTAGAGGTGTCAAGACGGACGCGCCGGCCATGACCCGTAAAAACCGGCCCGTGAAAATCGAGCCCGCGGGCCGCCCCGTGACCCGCGCGGGCGGTTCACGGGCCAAGGCGGTGTAACCCGCGGGCTTCGCGGGTTGCCC